TGATGGGGACTGCTGGCGCCCCAGCTGGCTTCTCATTTCATCCCGGGACGATAAAACACACCAGCAGTCTGGGGAGCCCTGGGCAAGGTGCAGAGACAAGAGCGGCCAGGGGCGCAGGGACTGGAGACAGGGGGTTGACGGGGGGCTCAGGGGGAGCTCGGGCTCCGTCTCGGATATCCGGGTCACATCAGCATTCTCTCACAGTGCGGTCGTTTGTATTCATTGGTATTCTTTCATAACGGCCTTGTTCTGTGTCGGCTTACAGAAGATCCGATTGAGACAGGATTCATCATGCAATGTTTTAAAATGGCATGTATGGTTAAATATTTACAATTAAATGTTTTATTTATTTTTACATTTTTCTTCCCCCTTGTGAGTTTTAGGGTTATTGTATTATGTTTGCGGAGGTGAGGTGATTGTGGTGAGGCTTAAGGCATGCATCTGGGTTTGGAGCTTGGCTGAGGTTTAGGGCTGGACTCACCGACAGGTTTACAGCTCTCACTTTCCACCTGTTTAGTAGTAAAGGGAAGAGGCAGCTTCAAGTCTGATTTCTTCTCAATCGTGAGCGACACTTCATCAAAAACTATTTTCTTCCCGAAAAGAGTAGGGGTGTAACCCCAGTGTCCTGGCCAAATTTCCCATTGGCCCTTACCAATCATGGCCTCCTAATAATCCCCATCTATGAACTGGCTTCGTTACTCTGCTCTCCTCCCCACTGAGAGCTGATGTGTGGGGAGCGTTCTGGCGCACTATGGCTGCCGTCGCATCATCCAGGTGGATGCTGCACATTGGTGGTGGTGGAGGGGAGTCCCCATTACCTGTAAAGTGCTTTGAGTGGAGCATCCAGAAAAGCGCTATTTAAGTGTAAGCAATTATTATTATCATCATCAACGGTCTCGAACTTTATGATCTTTGTTGCCACCAGGTGGCGAATTTAAGCATTGCACAACCCGACTAGAGCGCCGTAGCGGGAACAGGGCATCATAGGATATTGCTCCCGCGCGCTGATCTGTGAACTCTTGTGTAGGTATAATTAGAAGAGAAAACAAGTCGATTAGGGTAGAAATTGTAAAAAAAAAAAATCTGTCTTAGTCTTCCTCGTGAAAAAAGAAATTCATCAGGGTTGCTCCATTATCCTTAAAATTAAGAAATGCATTTCCTACACTTCTTTCCCTAAAAAAAAAAACGGGGACTCTCCTCCACCACCACCAGTGTGCAGCCCCAGCTGGATGATGTGACGGCAGCTACAGTGCGTCAGTACCCTCACCACACACCAAGCTCTCAGTGGGGAGGAGAGCAGAGAGATGAAGCCAGTTCAGAGAGGGGGGTTATTAGGAGGCCATGTTTGGTAAAGACCAGGGGAGAAACTGGCCAGGATACCGGGGTAACACCCCTACTCTTTTCGAGAAACGCCCTGGGATTTTTAAAGACCACAGAGAGTAAAACCATCTCTCTGAAGGACAGCAGCTTTTTTCAGTATAGTGTCCCCGTCACTTTACTGGTTCATTGGGAATCCACACAGGCTGCAGGGTGAGCGCCTCTCCTGGCCCCAACAGCACCTCTTCCAGCAGCAAGCTTAGCCTACATGACGCTAGGCAGTTATTTGTCCTCCATTTTTTTTTATCCACTTGTGTCACTCGGAAGGAATGGCCTGGAAACTGAAATCCGATGCAATCTGATGTGGTTAGAAATTGATTTTCAGTGTTGCGTGGCCCTTTCCGGCCCGTTGAGGTGCTTCCACCCCTGAAACTCGCTGTCAAGTGTCGAGTCAAGTACAACGCATCAGGGCCGTAGCCAGGAAGTGATTTTTGGGTGGGCCTGTGCAAAAGTGGGTGGCCCGGGCTCTAACTGACCCTGTTGCCAGCATAGGGGCACCCCTCCAATTTACAATGCAATCCTCGAGCAGTATAATCAAACAGCAGAATTATACCTTCTGTATATATATACATACACTCCCTCTCTCTCTCTCACACACACAGGTTAAGCAACAGTCACCTAGGCTGCCGAACGCCATTGTGCCACGGCGGATACACAAAAAAACAAGCAGTGCCTACCTCTGTTGTGAGGTTTTGGCCTTCTAGACCAGACGTAGGCGTCGGGGCTGGGAATTGAATATGGGGATAATCTCGTCACTTTCTAGAGAGTCGGCAACATCTTAGGGGAACCGGACCGGTCCCATTTGTTTGTGCTGCTTTCGTTCTCGAGATATAGCGCCTTGTTGTTTCTGTGATCACGTGAGCATGCACGGTGACTTTGACCTCCAGTGACCCCGTCTGCCGAGTTCAAGCGTCTGTTACCGGTGTGAGAGTAACAGTTCTGCAATTGTGTTCCTCTGTTTGCCCGGGTGGGGGGCGGCGGTGGATTTTGCATTTTATATCAGTGTCTTCTGTGTGTTTGTGTGAGCGGGAAAATTAAATTTGTCACGAATATCACATATCCTAATCAGAAGATTTCCGGGTGTAGTTTCAAAAAGCGAACACTATCAGCAAACAATTGCATGTTCTTACCAAGAGGTTTTAGCGAGCACATTTTAATACTTCATAGTGCATACAATTGGTTTCCAATTACTAATCAATCTAAGAGAAGTCGCTCTGAGGTCAAAACTGAATAGCAGACGAAGAATGTCATGGCATCCACAGCGCGTTCACGACTCCGATAGGATGTCACGACAGGAGTGCGCGCATCACAAGCACATATACCCATTGTGACTGGCGGATCACTGTTATGGCGCTACTGTCGCGACATTAAGTCCATATATCGCGATATGACATACCCCGACAAAAAACGCCCCGCCCCATGTCGCGACATGGAGTCCATATGTTGCCATAGGACATACCCTGACAGGATATGCTGACCCGATGTCGCGACACGAAGTCCATATATCACGGCACATCCTATCTGGGTATATCATGTCCTGATATGAGACCTTTGTTGCGACAGCGGTGCCAAGGTGCCAGTTGTGATGTATACTGCCGCGGTATACATGCGAGATACATCATCATGACATGCTGCGGATCTCTTGTCTCGATGGTATTGTAACGCATACGGCCT